ATCTGCATTGTCTGAGTCGCGAAGAATCACATTTGTTGCAGATTTCCAGAATGGTCTGAAGAATGCAATACCTCAGGTATTTGGAGATGCACATCACGCGTACTGTCTACGCCAGCTTGCTGAAAAAATGAATATGGACTTGAAGGGGCAGTTTTCTCATGAAGCAAGACGGTATATGCTCAACGATTTCTACTCTGTGGCGTATGCAACAACACCAGATGGTTATTACAATGCCTTGGAGAATATAAAAAGTATATCTCCTGATGCTTACACCTGGGTTATAGAAAATGAACCACACCATTGGGCAAATGCGTTGTTCGAAGGAGAGAGATATAACCAGATGTACTCAACCTTTGGGCTAGACTTCTACAGCTGGGTCTCTGAAGCGCATGAGTTTCCCATCACTCAAATGATTGACGAATTCCGAGCAAAGATGATGCAATCTATATACACCCGTCAGGTTCAATCCCGGGACTGGGTCACAACTTTAACACCATCTAACGAAGAGAAGCTACAGAAAGAAATAGGACTTGCTCAGTCACTTCAGGTTTCATCGCCGGAAGGTAGCTTATTCCAGGTTAATGGAGGAGAATCTTCCATCAATATAGTTGATATCAATCAATGCGATTGTGACTGCAAGATCTGGCGGCTAACCGGGTTACCTTGTAGCCATGCAATTGCTGTGATTGGACTTATAGAGAAAAGCCCTTATGAATACTGCTCTAGATACTTAACAGTTGAGTACCACCGGTTAATGTATGCAGAGTCGATTCAACCTGTCCCGAACATGGATAGGATGATGCTGGACGAGCCACCCGAGGGTTTGGTTTCCGTGACTCCTCCACCCACAAGGAGGACTCCGGGTAGACCAAAGATGAAGCGGGTCGAGCCGTTGGACATGATAAAACGTCAGCTACAATGTAGCAAGTGCAAGGGACTAGGACATAACAAGAAAACCTGCAAAGCTATTTAGTGTGGACTAGGACATAACAAGAAAACCTGCAAAGCTATTTAGTGTTAGGATGTTTTGTTTAGTTTAAAGTAGATGATTTTGGATCTTCTCTTGTTTGTTGGTATTGGGATAGGCACTTGTTTCTTCTTTTTCTTTTTTCTAATGAATTTTTCACATTTCATAGATAAATTTCACAAAATTAAAAGAAATGTGGTTTGTAAAAAATAATTGGTACAAGAATTAAGATACGGTTTACGAAGCTCTCTCGGTTTAAATTCCAAATTTCTCAGTGGTTACTAAACCAGACTCCAACATCGCAATAAATTACGAAAACGCCACCGTTTTGATTACTCCCTTTTTGGCGG